CCGCGGGATCCTTCTTGTAACAAAAGATGAAAAGAAATTATAATTCACATATTTGGAAAAAATCACACGTGACAACATGAAAACAATGACGCTGCTAGGAACTGCACAGCTTTACTTTTTATCGCATTCTAAGCGGTTCCTTATAGTACTTTTCCAGGTGGTGGTCGTACTCGGTGCAATGAACTTTTCGGAGATGATCCGGTTTTTCAGAGTCTGGACGTCAGCATCAAGGATATTTAGCGGCTGCTTCTGATGACTGATTTACTGACTCTCTTCTGCATAACCGTGTCAAAAAATGCCAAGATTAGGAATTTAACAATAAATTTCGAATGCCAAGATTAGGTATTTAACAATAAATTTCGATCACTTGAAACTACGAAAATCAAATCCGTCAGGTACTGAGGTGAGAAGGCAGCATCCATTTCTGCCAATTGAGCGAGGTCACTCCACGGCGACCACACGCGGTTTCCCCTCAGGCGTGTAACGAGAGGTGCCAGGTCGGGTCAACGCTACTGAAGCAACACTCCTAGTCTAGCCACAGGCGATTACGGAGAACTACCAGGTGGGGTCAACGTTACTGAAGCAACACTCCAAGTCCCCCCAAAGGCAAATATGGACAGGCTCCAAGTGGGGTCAAGAGCTACTGAAGCGACACTCCCAGCCTTCCCACAGGCGAGTATGGGGAGGTGCCACGTGAGGTCAACCATATAAAGCGACATACTCTCTCGTTCAGTAGCCTGCTGTACCCTGCTAAGAGTATCTAACCTCGATACCACGGCTGTTCATGGAAGCCCCACTCGAAGCGGCCAATTCGACACGTTTTACTTTCCGACTGCTTCGGCACCGCCATGTCACGTCATGTCATCGTCACCAGGAACTATTGTAGTAAGTTTGCTTATACAGCTATGAAGTTAACTGCCTTTGCTTTGAACTCTCAGTTGCGCGCGATGTGCACGCACCCATTGATGAAATGCCAATACAGTAACCAGTTTAACCGTTCTCGCCGCGCTAGTTGGTCCTGCATAGAAAATGGGCAAGGCTTCTAGAATATGGTACTGTTGCGAAATAAGCGTGTCCATAAGCTCTCTGAGATCATTCTGCTTTCTGCGATTCACTTAATATGATGCATTCTGACAAGTATAGCTGCCCTGTCTGTGATCAGGATATTCATAAGAAGAGCTTCTATCGTCATCTACAGGAAAGGCACAACTATTCTGAGGATCAGTGTCTCGGAATAAAGAAAGAAAAGAGGCGAGCGCAGTCAAACTCGTATTGCCCTATCTGCGATGAGGGCTTAGCTAATCAAGAAGAACTGACAAATCACTGCATGGAGTTTCACCAGGACACGGCGCTGATGGGCGACCTCAGGATTATACTATCTTCTCGAAGGAAGTTTCCGAATGAAGAAGAATACAAGGCAAGTTTTGTCAGGCTGATTCTCTTTTCATTTTGCGATCTTTTTTGTTCATACTTCGCACTCTTTTGAAGTAGAGTCTGTGTTCACGGTAGTCAAGCCGAAAACCCTAGGAAGTGTATTTTTTCGATCTTTAGCAGTGGTTGTCTGTAGAGTGCGAAAAAAACTGTATAACATTTTGGACAAGGTCGAAGAACAAGTTAAAATCTGGAACGAAGCTGAACCTGTGGTAACGCTTCTCTCTATCTTTACCGCTTCGTTCTACTGCTATATGTTCACGAATGTTCCTCGAAGGTGTTTTTACTGTTATAGGTGTAATCGCGCGGGGAAGAGCCGTGATGGAGGCCAAACGAGGGTTAGAACGAGCCGAAAGGACATCGTACACTGCTCCTGCTTCTTGAATGTGGAACTTCGTAATAGTGGGATGGTAGCAGTTAAAGGATGTTTCGGTCATGCTGGGCACGAACTGGACCCCGCTCTCTTGCGTTTATCAGATGAACAGCAGCAATACTTAAGAGTGCTCCTTCGAAGGTAATAAGCACAGCATGTTTATTGTTTTACATGGGTGTAGAAATTCATAACAACATTTAGATCATACCATCAACTATATCATACAACCGCGTACGAAGAGAACATCGCGAGAAGGCCTCGAGATTGTTTTTCGTCTCTATAAACGATCTCTGGGACTTGACGAAGAAGTACAAGATCAGACCTGGCTGTCGAGATAGTGTCGATATCACTTCTGTGACCAAGCGCGTGGAGGAAAGAATCCGTACGATGGCATACGTTTTTTTTATCGCCTGATGACTCTAGCGGCAAGGGTTTCCTTATGGGCGAGCTCGAAATGGTTTAATTGAGTTGATTATATACATCAAAATCTGCTATCTGCGAGCGCACAAATCATTTCAGTTATTGTGACGCCCCTACAGTTGAAGTGGTTGCTTGCCTACTCTTCTAGAGGCATAAGCCTGGACGACAGTCGTCACAACACGCGATACAACATCAAATTAGCCACTCTCATGGTGGCCGACGAGAAAGATCGAGGACTCCCTGCTGGTGAGTTCCTAGACCAGCACTGCATAGTTCTTCACGAACAAGACGATGTTACATTACATTCTTTCAGCATTTCTATTAAGCAATACCATGACGACGGATAACGTTTCCAATCTGTTCAAAGTGATCAAAGAGCTAATGCCAGACTTCAATCCAAGGAGAATCGTCACAGACGAAGCACAATGTTTCTGGAATGGCTTCCGCAAAACTTCCCCTGATTCTTCGACAGAACTTCACTACTGTCGCATTCATATTGCCAAGACATGGGAACGAAAAACGAAAGAAGTAGTGGATGTGAGTTAGTTAGTTACAATCTGGTTACCTAACTAGTAGGAAATTGTAGTTAAGCCATACTTAGATACCATCTTGAAACGTCTCATTTCAGGCGATTCTACGACCTAGCGTTGACAAAGCTCTACGTGAACTACTGAAAGAGACTCGACTACACGTGTTCGAGCAAAGATTCGCAGAAATTCTGGCCTTTTTGAATGTGAAGGGACAAACGGTGATGGCCGAATACCTCAGCAAGAACTACCTAGGTAACTTTGGATGAGTCCACCAGTGTACTGTGCAACAGGGTGAAATTCTTCAGGTAAAACCACGTCCTGGGCTTCCTTCACGAACAAGGGAGCTATAATGGAAACCACAATGATAAGCGAGAGGTGGCACCGCACAATAAAGGATGACATTCTACACCGCAACGCCAACTGTCGCCTCGATTGTTTGATAGAGTTGCTCATTCGTGCGACCGAAGAAAAAGCAGATACTATTGAAATTATGGTAAGAATTGGCTTTCTGACGCGAATTAACAAATAACTGATTCACGTGCACCTCGTTCAGGACCGTAGACGCTTTGTCAAAAGTTCCTTTCGCGTCTTGGAGACCATAAAAAACCATCAAAAGGCGGTCACTTTCTATGGAAAACGAACTGACAGGATTCGCCTCGTCAAGGATAACGAGTGGAGGGTGGAAACCTCAAAAGAGAAGGAATGCTTCACAGTTCTATCGGAAGGCAGATGTTCCTGTAATTGTAAAGGTATATGTCACGTAGCGGCACCGCAGAACTTCATTAACGTTCTTCTGTTCAGAGTAATGTGCATTGCCTCGTCTGTGGTGTCTGCCCGTATACCTGGCAGTGCACCTGTTTGGAAGAACAAAAGCGGAGTGAGCTGCGTACACATACATGCAGTCAAAACTTATGCATGTGAGGTGGAGCTAGTAAGTGCTGGAACACAGGAAAGCGAAGAAAGTGAAGGTCCTCTGGTAGGAGTTGAGGAGTATGCGGAAGTAGAAACTGAAACACCTGTTGAAACCCCTGAGCATGAGCAAGCTGCTTCGAGTGTCCAGCATCGCAGAGAACAGCGCTATCAAAGATTGAACGAAATAATAAGCGTGAGTTCCTCAGTTTCTTTTCGCCCATTTCCACTAAACCTGTATTTTCAGACGTACGCAGCCATTGAAATGACAGCAAAGACACTGGCAAAAAGCGATTCAGACGAATCCTTGAAGAGTTTGGACAAAATCCTGGAACACTTAAAGCTCGCAGCTGCTGTCGTCCCTATGGCTGGTTCCGCTGGCCTGGCTCCGCGACCGGAACTAACAAAGGGAAGAGGCCAAACCACACCTTCAAAATGTGGTACTACAGCCGGTATGTAAACTTTCATGTATCGACACAGAGAATCGTTACTAGAATGACACAATTCCTTCACCACACACTTCCATTCTTTCAGAGAGGAAAGCTGAAAGAAGCCTAAACTGAAGACCACAGAAGACCTTCACGAACAAGTTCACAAGATGAGGGTATCGCCGCGAGAAGAAGAATCTGTCCCACCTCCCGGCTGATGAAATATATTGACATTATAAGAATTTTTGTTTCTTCCTCTTCATTTTGATATACTGAGTGCAATAAAATTCGTGATAAGTTTCTCAATTCGAGTGATACACATGCTGAAATTTTTGAGCAATTAGTTCTTGTGAATATGCATACATTTCAAACGTTGCCGTAAATTTCCATAAGTGAAGTTAAGTAGTATGCCTCTGATGTAACCGAAACACCAACTCTTTGGGTAGGCTACGAAAACAAATACTTGGGAGTGATGTATGGTTATAAGGTAAAATTAGAAACAGCTTTGCGATCACGGCAAATAACGAACCGGGTACCCACAGTATTTCAAGAGCAAAAGGAAAGTAGAATCTTTCGTTGTAAGTGATTATGGCAGCGCACTTCTACAAATCCACGTTATTACAAACCTAACACACCACAGCGACGTTCCATGGGTGAATAGGATTTTGAACAGGCGTGGGATTACGGTAGGAGCAAGTGGTACGCAATTACACGGCTACCCTTCGCGTGTTTACGTAACATCG